AGTGCTAAAAAGATAGCAACCCTACAGTACATATAATTAGTGCTAAAAAGATTGTAACCCTGGAATTACATAACTATATTTGTCCTTGTGTTGACGCTTTGGTGTATTTGGTCCTTGTGTTGTAGTTTACACCACATGTCAATAGCATTACAGTACATATAATTAGTGCGAAAAAGATCGTAACCCTGGAATTACATATAATTAGTGCTAAAAAGATAGCAACCCTACAGTACATATAATTAGTGCTAAAAAGATTGTAACCCTGGAATTACATAACTATATTTGTCCTTGTGTTGACGCTTTGGTGTATTTGGTCCTTGTGTTGTAGTTTACACCACATGTCAATAGCATTACAGTACATATAATTAGTGCGAAAAAGATCGTAACCCTGGAATTACATATAATTAGTGCTAAAAAGATCGCAACCCTACAGTACATATAATTAGTGCTAAAAAGATCGTAACACTACAGTTCATATAATTAGTGCTAAAAAGATCGCAACCCTAGAGCTACAGTACATAAAATTAGTGCTAAAATCTTTTTAGCACTAATTATATGTACTGTAGGGTTGCAATCTTTTTTTTTCCCACGCCAGTTTTATACTTCAGAAGTTTGTCAAGTGTGACGTTTGACCTTTATCCTTCCGACCCCAAATACCAGGTTAATAATAATAGTATAAATATCTATAGCTGTACATGTACATGTATTTGATATACCATGGTGTAATTATAAATAGGAACTGAGATACATGTATATCTTATACACAAGGTTTTTACCATGGACAAATAATGCACAGACACACTGACTAATTCTTTCTTATGATGCTATTTGGGACCGAAACAAATGTATAAATTTACAGCAGGAACTAACAGAAAAGTCCCACAAAAAGGTAATGAGTGTTTCTGAGTGTTGGTATAAATAAGAAACATGTCATGCATAACTATTTACAATAATTTTGGGTAAAAAACTAAAGCTGTGTTAAACTTCCCATTAGTATACCAGAAAAAAAAATTGGAAGGTAGGTCAGAGGAGGCTTTTTTATATAGAAAAGGATATCTGACCTTATTTTTCCTGTCCTTAAAAATGCCAATAAAACATTGCAGGGTCAACCTTAATATATTGTCTGCAATTATACCTTTCTTGTGTTAGACTTTAAATCCCAGCTTTCTCATGCATTCCTTGTGAGCCTCTATCAGGTCTTTACAGTTCTCCTCGCCTTTTAGAACTATGCTGTAAATACAAGTGATTTGTTTATAAACGACCAAAGTAAGCTGATTTAACAACAATCAAATGTCTATAACATGTATGAAATAATGAGAACTAACCTCTACAGTCCAGTTAAATCAAAAGAAGATATTATTGTAATTACTCTATAACACTTAGAACCTGTCTGTACTGTATATACTCTGCGTATGTGTATAAACAAGAGGCCCAATGGGCCTGCATCGCTCACCTGGTATTAATCTCACACTTGTAATCTTAAAAGTGGACTAAAATACAGCTATAGGCAGAATATCAGTGTTTGATTCATAAGAACAAATTAAAAGATTTAAAAATATGAAGCCTGTGACCTTAAAAGTTGAACAAGGACATTAGGTTGAAAGTGGGTCAAGGTAATTCATTTGAACAAACTTGGTAGCCTTTCATCCAGCATGCCACAGGCCCAATATCAGTACCCTGGGCCTTGGTTATTGAGAAGAAGTTGTTTGAAGATTTTAACATATTTGACCCCTGTGACCTTGAAAGTGAGTCAAGGTCATTCATTTGAACAAATTTGGTAGTCCTTCACCCCAGAATGCTACAGGCCCAAGTTCAGTACCCTGGGCCTTTTGGTTATTGAGAAGAAGTCGTTTGAAGATTTTAACATATTTGGCCCCTGTGATCTTGAAAGTGAGTCAAGGTCATTCATTTGAACACATTTGGTAGTCCTTCGCCCCAGCATGCTACAGGCCCAAGTTCAGTACCCTGGGCCTTTTGGTTATTCAGTAGAGGTTGTTTGAAGATTTTAAGACATCTGACCCACACGACCTTAAAAGTGAGTCAAGGTCATTCATTTGAACAAAATTGGTAGCCCTTCATCCAAGCATGCTATAGGCCCAATATCAGTAGACTGGGCCATTTGGTTATTAAGAAGAAGTGGTTTGAAGATTTTACAACATTTGACCCCTGTGACCTTGAAAATGGGTCAAGGTCATTCATATGAACAAACTTGGTAGCCCTTCATTCCAGCATGCTACAGGCCCAATATCAGTACCCTGGGCCTTTAGGTTATTGAGAAGAAGTCATTTTAAGTTTTTAACATATTTGACCCCTGTGACCTTAAAAGCTGGTCAAGGTCATTCATTTGAACAAACTTGGTAGCCCTATATCCCAGCATGATACTGGCAAAATATCATCAGCCTGGGCCTCTTGGTTATTCAGAAGAAGATGTTTAAAGTAAAATATTGACACCAGACGTACGGAGAACGCACCACAGCATAGGCTCACCTGGCCGTTGGTCATTCAGTTGGACTTTTAGGTATTGAGAAGTGGGTCAGGGTCAATCTTTTGAACATTCATCTCATCATCCTCGACTGCTTGGCTATTCAGAAGAAGTTATTAAAATTTTAGCGCAATGGACCCCTTTGACATAGAATATCACGATAGGCCATCCATTTGAACAAAATTGATAGCCCTTGATTCTGTCATACTACTGACCAAATATCAACACCATGTGTCTTTTGGCTATTCATTTATCATTTTTAACACATTTGACCCCATGGCCAGTGCCCTTTAACGTAGGCTGAGGTTTTTTAATTGCAAACTTTGTTGAGCTCCGTCTCAGGAAGCTACCAGCCAAATATGCATTTTGGTTCTTCAGAAGGAAATATTGGAAGTTTTTTTTACATGCATATGTTTCATCCCTGTGGGCCTTGAAAATATGTTAAGATAATTTATCAATTTCATTTGAAAACTTTGTCAGGCTTTGCACATGTAAGCGTTTTTAATTATTCAGAAAACTCCAGAACCTCTGATCCTCAGTATGAGCCAACAATATCTACTGATATAGGGGGGAGTAATTTAAGAAAATAGCATTCTTTGTTTAATTGACATACTCTACATGTAGATCACTGATTTTGTATGCAAAAGAATCTCAGTGCACATACATGTACAATGTATATCAGACTGTATCAGGAAATCTTTCATTCTACAGAGACTTTTAGGTTTCAGTTTAACTCTGTTTACAGAGACATTCATTATTATGACTGATAATGATACTATATCTCATTAGTCCAAAGTTTTTTTTATGAATTTCTCTTTTACTAGCTGTGGAGAGGCATGCTGCCCATTAGTTTCAATGTTTATAACATGTCTAGTGCAGGCCCCAGGTAAATGAACTACGAATATATTAGTTTAGTACAGCAACATCTATCTGGATTTGAGGATGCTATGCTTCAGCTTTTCCACAGCTACGTCAGCTAGTAAAAGAGTAGCCCGAGTTTCCTCTGGCCCTGACACCAGACTTAGACATTTTGACAGATAGATGTCTGGTGTGTCTAAGACTGGTGTCAGGCCCAGAGGAAACTCAGTCTAGTAAAAGAGAATTTAAGCCCTGCATGATATAGGTATATAACTTAGCTTCATTTCATAGCATTCAGACTGGTTCGCCCGTTGTCAGTATAATGTGACCGGGTGGGGCGTCCTGCTGGGTGTCTTCGGCAGTATGTTTCAGTGAGGTAGCACTATAAAGTTGACATCAGTTCCGCGTTATCACAAGGAGACAAACACGAACAGCCTCCCAAAATACATACACATACACTACACGCATGCATCTTGCACACAGGGGAGGCCGTCCTTAAATGACCTTAGCTGTTAATAGGACACTAAACAAAATAAAACCAAACCAAACATAGCATTCAGTTGGGTCGCTAAAGAGAGAGCTGACATGCTGATGTCATATGAAGACATCAGCCTTACATCCTCGATACTCCAGGGGTTATACTCACTTTCACTCTGTGCATGCCTGGAATATGTCACAAAAAAATTGAAGGCACATGGCTAAATATTTCATTGGTCACAAGTAAAGATTACAAAGCCAAAAGGAGTGACATCCGACTTCAAAGCCAGTCAATTTTACACGACCGACATATTCTTTTGATGTAAATCAAAGGATCAAACTAGTCTTCTCGTCTAATCCACAAGGTGGTGCACACTAAGCATTCAATTTTGATTTTACATATTCCAGGAGTGCAGAGAGCGAACTTAGTGAGGGTAACCCTAGTCCGATTTATTCTGACGTTTTATCGACTTTTTATATTGGTCTGTCGTCGATTAACAATATAGTATTGACAATGTTAACCTCGATATTGAACATTTTAATAACTAATGTACAAATCCATACATATATACAAGTTCATATCCTAAATTGGGGTCTTTGGATATGACCTATCAGGGTATTGAAATTAAGTTAATTAAAATAGTATAATAGCCTCTTGTAGCGGGCTTGTTGAACAACAAAGGCAAATGTCAACAATACACACTATTTATTTTAGACATTTGTAACGAACCCCTGTGGCTGAACCTTCATACGCGGGGGAAACGTTTCAATATTGCGTCCGGTTGTCACTAAAAACATGTTACCAGCTTATTTATATGTGCAAAGCCAAAGCCAGGAATTATACTGTACCATTCATCTCTAGGTCCCCTGGTTTCTGGACAAGCACAACATGGTTTTAGCTTTTTAGCAGGTTCTATTGTCGGCGCGGGAGCAGTTGGTGCTACTGGTGCTGCTGGTGCGTTAGCATTTTAATAACTAATGTACAAATCCATACATATATACAAGTTCATATCCTAAATTGGGGTCTTTGGATATGACCTATCAGGGTATTGAAATTAAGTTAATTAAAATAGTATAATAGCCTCTTGTAGCGGGCTTGTTGAACAACAAAGGCAAATGTCAACAATACACACTATTTATTTTAGACATTTGTAACGAACCCCTGTGGCTGAACCTTCATACGCGGGGGAAACGTTTCAATATTGCGTCCGGTTGTCACTAAAAACATGTTACCAGCTTATTTATATGTGCAAAGCCAAAGCCAGGAATTATACTGTACCATTCATCTCTAGGTCCCCTGGTTTCTGGACAAGCACAACATGGTTTTAGCTTTTTAGCAGGTTCTATTGTCGGCGCGGGAGCAGTTGGTGCTACTGGTGCTGCTGGTGCGTTAGCATTTCCCATTTTTCTAGAGCTGATGTAACCGGTCTACAAAACACGTGAAGGTTACTTCGCCGGAAGTTTACGTTAGATAACATAGTTTCGGTCTAAACGATGTTCAATAAAAAGAATATTTTTTTCTATATCATTGTTGTTATTTATTAGAGTTTGAATTTCAATATGTACTCTCATTTTTAATTGAATCTAAAAATTAGTTCTGTAAAATATTATACGCAACAGTCACGGACAGGAAGTAACTGTTACCATTTCACAAAATGGCTGAAGCAGAGAAAGATCAAGTAAGATTGAAAACAAATTAAGTTAATATCAATGCTATTCATCTGATATAAGAGATTTTGAAATTAAACCTGCTTTCGATCTTGGGCCGCTTCCGTTTACTGTAACCGGGTAATGTCGGTTAAAGTTTGTTTTGAGAAAGGATGTTCCTCAGTCCCTGCTTCTGACGATCCCATTGATCCACGGCAAAGGCTTTCTAAGTCTGTATGGACATTTGCAGGTCCTTCAGGCTTTATTCCTTAATATTACACTTGAAAGCAGACATGCTTGTTTGTCCACCAAAACGAACAGACCCAAATATTATGTTTTCTAAATGAGAGCAGACCACAAGTACAGACTGTCATTTGACTGTCGAACCGAACAAATGAACAGTTCCAATGTTATATTTAAATGGTTATAAAATATTGCTACACTACTTCAACTTACCTTCAAATTTTGATTCGGAATATGTGTTGCTAGTCTAATGAACGACGACCGCGATCTATCTCATTCCCAAGAAGTTGTGGGGGAAAAAATACAGAGTTATTTCCCTTAGATCATGATCAGGACTAATTCATTGTTTCATATTCCAGTTTGAAGATGAAGAGACTGAAGAAGATGCCCCCCTAGAAAGAAGAAATAAAATATTTTCAAAAGAACGTGAGTATTAAGAGGAGATTTAAAAGTACACTTCCAAGTACAAACTCTTACTCTTACTTTGAATTCAGAAGTTCTAGGTTGAAATCTCAGTCGGGCACCATTGCTTTTTAGGTCACCTGAGCTTGCTTCTTCTCAAGAACCAGAGGATGGAATTTTTTTAAACTGGGTCAGAATCATCCTTGGTAGATGAGGCTACGAAAGTATAAAATTGGGATTCCTACCCAAACCCCAGGGGCCAGAGTGGGGCCTTAAAGGGAAAATTAACCATGTTTAAAAATCTTCTTCTCCAGACTTAGAAGTACTTGGGGGACAGTCAATTTCTCTGCATGGATGGAAAGAGGTTTTATCTATTTTTCTATTTCATTACCCCCGGGCCATCCATTCTTGCTTGGGAAGGGATGCAGTAAAGTTTACTTTAGTTTATATAGGGAACTAACTCTTTTGGGTACAAAAAAAATATCCTGCACCATCCCCATGGGCTAGAGGGATGAAAAATGGTTAATGGGGAAAATGGTTAAAACTTACCTAAAAGTTAAAAAATCTTCTTCGTCATGTTTACATGTTGATTTCCACATCACATCTCAACAATTTAAACTGAACAAATTACAAGAATATGAAAGTTACAATATATACGTTTATTACACAACACATGACATAACATGATTATATGACAAATAATTAAAAACATATATACATTCATATAACAAACTACATAACTATATTTGGCGAAAGGGGCAACTCAGTTACTACAAAATAAACTAAATATCCTTCTCCTGGATTTGTCGTCAGAAGAAGGATAGCATATGCATGTAGTGTCCAGTTAAAATTCCTCATCTTAAGAATCTATCAGACCGTCAACAATGCAGTGTTGTCACAGTACTTGGCTAGAGCGACTGATGAGTATGACAGAAGAGGATAATAACTGGACATGATGTATATTGTATGAGCTATACCACATCCCGGTGTAGTTTGCTGAGCTACCAGGTCCGGATGAGGAATAGGTGTCAGTATGGTTATACAGATATATAGATAGATGATCATCCCGTATTACACTATTCCTCATCTCGGTGCAGCTTGGTGAGCTACCAGGTCCTCTGCTTCTGTATCTAGAGGGATAGTCACCAGCTACGAGAAATAAAAAAAAATGGGGATGAAATGAGAAATTAGAACTTATTAACAATAATTTTGAATGAAAAGTCCCAAACTCAGTTAAATGAGATACTGAATTGAACTGAGTGCCCCAAAATACGTACCTATATTATAATTGGGTGACCGCTGAGGCCCTTGGGCCTCTTGTTTCTTCTCCTGTTACACTTGCTAGCACAAATGAAAAATTAACTGACATCATGAAATTACATTTCAGTGCGATGTATGATGTATGGGTTTGGAGATGACAGAAATCCCTACACAGAGTCTGTAGATATCCTAGAGGATTTGGTTATAGACTACATATCTGAAATGGTAACATTCTATATATATATATAATTATATCATGTAAGTATTTTATACTGATTGTACCGGCTGCCATGAATGATTATACCATAACTTTACAATTTCTATCATTTCATGTCTATGATGATACTGTTTTTAGATACTAATCATCATATTATCTAATATAATCCCAGGATAAAACTTGTGAATCAATGATTTATTTAGAACAATATTAATGAAAGAAATGAATTATTGATTCATAAATTAATTAAAACAATATTTTGAGCATTAGGTTATTTTCTGTTGGTTTTCATATTTGAACTGTTGATGAATTAAATTTTAATTAAGGGATATTCTAAATACACTTTATTCACTTTCTGCACTAGATCTGGTGTATTGTTTTTGTAATCATGATCCTTATTCATGCATTTATAAAACTGATTACTAGGGATCTATCTATCCACAGTGCATTCAGTCACTATAAATTAAAGTTTAAGGATGCTCTATAAGATATTTTTTAAAACAAAATTAACATGTTCTGCGTTTTCCCCAAGTGATCTTTACAAGTAGACAGATGTCAAAAAGTTCATCCTTGTAGTCATGTTAACAACTCCGTGGTTGGGGGTTGCCCTGTCAAATACACAAAGATAGTGCACATGTTATTTGATATTGTAGACTTCCTTTATACATTCCATACATTTTCAGCTTAAATGGTGTGACCACATTGTTTCAGCTAATTTTACAAAATTAAGGTTAATATTTGTTATGATAATGAATCTAGCTGTACAATAAAGTGATAGGTTTTTGTTTATCATGTGCTTCTCATCATGCACTGAATGAGCATGAATGGACTTCATGTGAGAAATATGTACCGTATATGCATGTACATGAATAGTTTTTAGGATTCCTTTAAGAGTTTTACACTTGCTTGTTATACAACAAAGAATGGATGCCCTTGAGTGGGTTAACCCTTTCACCCCTAGGCCTATGCAACTTAGGTAAACCCTCCCATATGCATTAATCTGGATGAGTTCATTATGGTGTACAGAGGTGAAAGGGTTAACTCAGAAAGTATTTTTTCTAAAGGTATAACTTTTTCTGTGATGAAAAAACCTTGTTAACTATTGACTTTATCCCTATGTCTGGTATATTAAAGGAAATTTCAAACAATTATATCATATAAATAGACATATGCAATGTACATTTCATTTGAATATATCACTGAAAAAATATCATGGTATCTTTTCTGCATTTCAACTACATTTTAAGAAGACGCATGCTTTGTTGGTTTACCTTCTACCCTTATCAGGCTTAAAATATGTTGGACCAAAATTCAGACACTATATGGACAAGGTATTAATTTAACAGCCTTATGGACAGGCAGGCAGCCACCCATTCCTATCGTTTAATAAAATATATACAAATTCTCTCTTTCAGACAAAAAAGGCAATGGAAGTTGGGAGACCTGGGAGAATCTCGGTAGAAGATATAATTTTTCTCATAAGAAAGGACCCAAAGAAATATTCTCGTGTTAAAGAATTACTGATGATGAGTGAAGAGCTTAGGAAAGCAAGAAAGGCATTTGATGAAATCAAATATGCAACTGCAACCAAGTGATTAATTTGTAATTTCTGTAAGAGATATTGAATCATATAAACAAGAATTTTACCGACTTAAAATTCAAATCAGTGATAATCTGAAGTAGCCATCATGATCTATCAAATTGACTCGCTGTTTAAATATTGATAAATATTAAATCAAACTTCAAAATATTAGATTTTAAAATGAAATTTTGATGTGTAAATGAAGCATGTTAAGATTTTCATTGTTACCTATTTATTGTGATTGAATATTTAAGTATGATTATCTGTGTATATTTAAGTATGACTGTACTGTACTTGTATGTGTAGATGTGGAAGGTATGGGTGAATTATGTATGTATATTGAATTGTTTATATAATTTTGTCTTCCAAGGAAGTAAAAGACTAGGACAACTTTTGTTGCAGTTTCATTTTTTAATTAAAATTGCTTTGACAGACAGAAACTGGGTCCTGATAACCCTGATGTTTCTCGGCATAGATGGAGGCCTCCTCAGTAAAAAAAATATATCTGGGTTTGATGTCCTGGCAACAACCAGTGTTGCAAAAGGCAAAAAGGGACCCAAGATTTTATTTTACCATTATGGGGTATCCTTTGATGGAGACGGGTGCCAAGGGAAACACTGGGGGAAAGAGAAAGTAGATAGAAAAAGGCAGATGGAAATGATAGGAAGCAACAGATCCTGAGTGGTGCAATGGGGGCAGCAGATCAATGTTTGGTCCATGTCCCCTCCGTAGAAGACAGCCCCGATTCCGTAGAGGGTCCCCACGCAAGTCGCCTCTTCCGATACACATGCAGAGGGGTACACCAGTCATGTTCTTGGTTTACTCTAGTCAACATCTACACAATGTGTGGTGTAAATGTGAGAAGTTATGCGGTTTGGATAAGTTTATGTTGCTTCAAAAGAAGCGCTGGTATCTATCTTTGAGCGGTAACCAATCGTATTAAATAGAACGGATGGGGAAGATCTGCAAGAGGGCATGTTATACATGGGTCAATAAAGGGATTAAGATACAAAACTCTCTTGTTTTCTGATATCAAACAGTCCTCCAGCACAACCTAGTTATTTCCAGAATAAGATACAACTGTTTGAACTATGTAACTCTTTATTGATGTGTACGTTCTATAAGCACAATGTATATTTGATGTTAAAACAATGTTAATTGACCAACAAACAGACTCATAGATATGTATAACAATTTATAAAGAACATAAATGATGATAAAATAGCTGGCTTGTCCTTCTTATACAATATTAGACACGACCGCAGCACTTCAGGTAGACCCTTCCTCAATGATTTATGCGTGAAGCATATAATTTTGTTCCTTAAATGGGTAACAAAATCGATATAGTATATAGTCATCATCATCATTATATTTCCTCAAAATTAGAGACACAATTTGCATCGAAATGAAATAAAATACTTAAATAAAACTTACATTATTGAGACAACATGTACATATCAATTTTAACATCAATCTACGTGATGGACATAACGAATGAATCTAGCTCAAATCAAACATCATTAAATATTTGATCATCATATTCAGTTAACTTGCAACTTGATATCCAGAGTTTGGTTTGTCAGCTCCAGCACATGATTCTACCAGAGACGTATATGTCTCTGATTCTACACAAACGTCATGTTATTTAGTGTTCAGTGCTGTTCAGTCGTGTGACGTATATAGGGCCACACAATGTTACCATATACGTTCAGACTTTATTCTCGTTCTCTAGATTAGACAATTGTATTCAACCAAATGCCAGTAACTATCTCTAACTGACTAAGTCGGGCACTATGATGTATCAATGCCAGTAACTATCCCTAACTGACTAAGTCGGGCACTATGATGTATCAATGAGACGAATCATATCCTGGTATTACAGTTTTAGCACCTGTCACCTGTACGTGATCTCATCTGTGGTTGTCACTAGTCTGAGACTAAACTCATACATTGTATGGCTTTCTGTTTGTTGCATTAATTTCCCCGAAGCGAGAAAAGACCATTAGCATCCTTTCTTTCAGTTCGCAATCTTCCTTAAGGTGACCAGTCTTTTTTTAAGTGAAGTGTACTATTTTCTAAGTTTAAAGTGAAGTATTGCTCAAGGGGGTAGTGTTGTAGTCCACCGAGTCATAAAATGTTCGCCATGAGATAAACATGAACACATGTGTATATTTCTCAAGCATCATGAGTTGTATGGTTATATTTGCACATTACTTAAATTATGATATGTATATCAATAAAATGATTCACACGAGTACGAGGAAGGATAAAGTTTAAATCAAATGACTAGTTCAACTATTCGTATCCTGTATAATAATGCCAACTGTTCTAAATCCACACAACTCTTTTTTTTCTCCATTTTTACAAGTGTAGTATAAATCCACACAACTCTTTTTCCATATTTACAAGTGTAGTATAAATCCACACAACATTTTTTCCATATTTACAAGTGTAGTATAAATCCACAACGTTTTTTTCCATATTTACAAGTGTAGTACAAATCCACACAACTTTTTTTACCATATTTACAAGTGTAGTATAAATCCACACAGCTTGTTTACCATATTTACAAGTGTAGTATAAATCCACACAACTTTTTCCATATATATACATGTGTAGTATAAGAGCAAATAAGAACAAAGAACATCAATTTTAAAACATAGTAAAGATCCCGGTACCACTGCCAAACATAGTACAGATCCCGGTACCACTGCCGGTACCACTGCCAAACATAGTACAGATCCCGGTACCACTGCCAAACATAGTACAGATCCCGGTACCACTGCCAAACATATTACAGATCCCGGTACCACTGCCAAACATATTACAGATCCCGGTACCACTGCCAAACATATTACAGATCCCGGTACCACTTACTAACATAGTAAAGATCCCGGTATCACTGACTAACATGTACACGTGTATCTTTGCATTGGGAATTATTTATTTATTTCCTTAAAGAAACAATACATTGCGAGACTTTTATGAATAAAATAATATAAATGAAATAAACAAAGTAGTATCAACAACATTGTTCTGATTACAAGAAGGACCCAAAAAAATGTATAACACAGCACAAAGTAGCATCGTTTTGTTTACAAGTTAACATTGGAGTATAATACAGGCGAGATTTGCTTGAATATATTTATACATGAATTAAAAGTTTAAAAGCACTGTTTCATAAAATACAATGTATGTATAATCAAAGTGAACAAAATATGCTATGTTGGTGTACGAGACACGACTACAATAACTGAAGTATATAATACAATAACATGTCGTTATCAGCACTGTCGGTAAAGACATTCTTTAAAACGACACTGTTGTTCCATCTCTAAATATAAAACTCCGACAAATCATTCCATCGGGCCAATTCCTCCATTTCTCGTGACATTCTTTTCTCGTAGAATTAGACTCCCTTATATATCGACCCTCGGAATCCAAGGGTTCCGCTATCGATACACGTGTCTTCTCTGTACCACGAGCGGAGTTTTCGGATTATGGGGATGTTAACTCCCTAGTGCACAACACTGGGGTCTTCTTCTAGTATGAGCCTCGTGACGCTGTGGTAGTATGTCCTGAAGGAAGACCGTATCATTGTTGGTTTACCTTACTTATCTCTTTTCAGTTTTGCCATATTTTCTGAGTGTGTATATGAACCTTTAGAATTTCATATCGCTAGGTTCTCTCTTCGCTTTGTAGACATGTTGTTATGAAGTAGCTACAGAATGTGCTAAAAACTGCTGGTGTGTCCTTCATGGCTACATTCTTCGCCGAGACTGAAATGATGAACATTGAAATTGTGAAGAAACAGATTGTTATTGAATGTATTATACCAAAGCAAACATTTACTGAATATATTTACCTCATGACTATTGTAATCAATTGAAAGGAACAATGCCATGATTCATGACTAATGCCTTATTCTGATGTCACAAGGGATGGTATTACATACGTTATACGCAAAATCCTGTGGATCCGTCACCGCGTCACATGCTATTCATGTGATTTAGTTTATTTAACGAAACTTCCTTGTGACATCGATTATTAATTTGTCGGGTAAAATTATACTTACTCAGTGGACAGGTGAATCGTACTCCATGATCCAGGATATTTCCATTTTGAAATGTCCACCACTCCTCCTTTTGATAGTAAGATACAATTTCCATATCTTTGTCGTTGTAACAACACTTGAGAATATGTTGTAGTCCCCAGGGCGAAGATATCATTTAGATGGTGGCGGCAAGCCAATAGCAAACCCCTAAAGGCAAGATGTTACGCATGGAAAGGTACATATGTTAACATATCATTCTGATGATGGTATTATATTCCTGGTGTTGACTTTATAGTGGAAGTCAATTCAGTCAGAAAAATACTCAAAATAGTGGTTTATTTGACAGGTACAATGTGTTGAATACAACTATGATCACGTGAACCAGGTTTTGACTGTGCCCTGTATTATGACCCCACACACAGGACAACGCCTGACGGCCTGTGCGCAGACATGACAGCACACGAGATGGGCGCACGGGAGAAACGCGATCGAGGCGTCCTCTTCCTCACATATCCTACACATCTTCTCTCTCCTCAGCCGGCGGTTCTCCTCTACGAGGCGTTGTATCTCACGTTCTGTAAAATATAATAAAATCAACCGGTATTGTTTCCCTTAGAGACAACTGATTTTCATACAATCACGACACACGAAGACAATATGCTACAGGTACTGAAAGATACCAACATCTGTAGTGATGTTTGATAGGGCCACTCACCGCTTGATACAGTTATGACATTCTAGTCCGTGGCATTACCATTGAACCCTCTAGTGACCAATTGTTTGGTAATTACACCACAAACATACACAAATCACATGTCCTCATATAGTTTAAATCAAAGACATTTACATTACAGTACTATTGCCAAGAAATATAATGAACATTTATAAATGTATCTGTGACCTATTGTCGTTTATTACAGAAAAAAACCCATAAATATTATTTGACGAATGACAGAAAGTTAACTTATCGAGATATCAAAGTCTTGATTATTCAGCGTGATGTACATGTATTCAGAGAGAACGTTCAAAAATATTGAAATATGTTTGATTCTTAACATCAGCATTTACAGTTTGCATCACACTCGCGCTCTGTAGCCTGTCAATGTATTGGCATACAGTTCGCATCACACTCGTGCTCTGTAGCCTGTCACTGTTTTTGCACGCTACAGTACTTCGTCGTTATTCCTATCATTTTGTTACAGAACTTGACAAGTATAATGACACTGTCTTCCAATAAGAGCCATGAAATAAATCAGTATCAGTACACATGACGAGTATTTCTTTGGACAATTTGATGCACAATGTTGAATGCTAAAGAACACGCATCAGGAAAGAAATGGTAAATCCCAATGCTCCCTCTACAGATAACATGAAGATCATATTCTTATTCAACACATGCTTTATAGAGAGTTTGAAATACCTCCTAAAATGCTATTCTTAACTTCCTTATTTCACATAATATATCACCCTAGTTTGTCACTGTGCGGATTCCGTACCCTCCGAGTCGTCAATGTTTGTGTCAGGTACGCCCTCGTTATGTGTGTTTTCTAGCCTCGGGTCGTCTGTGTTTTCCTCTCCCTCTGCGATCCTAAGTATTTCTGCAAGTATGTCTGCACTGTGCACGTTACTGATGCCTACAAATAAAATTAAATCAAGCTATTAGACCGGATATTTAAAAAAAATATACAGAGCCAGTGATTGAAGACTAACTAAGTAACAGCGGTATGTCACACATGTCATATGTTTCAGCAATCTTATACTGCCGACTACGAAAGCTTCGTGAGAGACATATGCTCACGGTAATACACGAACTTGGAGAGACCAGGTCGAAATAATTATTTAGGCTCATAAGCAGAAGGGTATGGTTACTTTTTATTTGTCATTTCGTGAATTCAAATCACCGCGAAAACAATGTGGGGTGAGCATTTGCGAAAATGAGTTTTGACGAATATTCGATTGCGTGTATCATATATCGCCATTACTATAAAACATAATGCAAATATATCTTGCATTCACTGTGGAAGTGCTTTTTTTTTTATTTCCGCACCGAAGTTTTAAGTTTTCATTCTTCTTATGAAGTGCATTGTTAAGTCTGACTGAAGATACTGATCCTTAAGATATCATAAATGACCAATTTCCCCAGTGTACATTCATTTGATGATTGGATTGATTTCAACCTATCACATCTAAGTCTACACTCATGTATTTGTAAACTAATCTCAAGGAAATTGGGCGCCGATATCACTTGGTTGTTGTTTTGTGATACAAACGTGACCACAGTAAAGATTTAATTACACATTCCCCTGACAAGCTGTAATAGCTCCGTGTTTATTCGTGATTGAAATGTTATAACGAAAGGACGAAACTAGTACCAGTCGGCTCTTTTCGCAAACACTTTAAAAAAGGCCAACCGTGATTAAGTTAAGCGAGTGATAAGGCACAACTGTTACGGAAATTGGATATCAAACCATCATTAAAACACTACACAAGACGAAAGTTTTTATCAACACATTTCGATTAGGGGGCACGACTGAAAATTAATTTGACACATTCCACAGCTATTTAACCTGGCTCCGCACTTAGTCATTTTATAGTTAAAATGTTATTTAACAAATAAATAATACGAAACAAATTTGATTTTACTAATGAGGCACATGTCAATGTAATGAACTGAAGTTCGCGAAAAAACACCAATATTTTTGGTTCAAACAACCTGTTTGCCGGGATCTCAATTCGCGAAAGGATAAAAAACAAATACATAACTAAAGTTTGTATATAAATATCAATAAGTCNTGTCCATTTGTTTTGTCTTTCTATGTGTGAAAGTGTGTGAAAATTGAATGTGTCTTGGTGATTGTATAAAATCATCATCAGATGATGAGGATGAGGATGATGATGAGGAGGATGAGGTTGCCGATAATTTCAATAGTAGATATGTGTGAATGTATGGATGTGTGTTGATGTGATGTTCTGTATAATGTACATGTTCTGAAAAAATTAAATTAAAAAATAAAAATAAAAAAAAATATCAATAAATATTCACAAGGCATTTGAATGTGAAATCGTCGGATCGGATCGTTGTGAATTTACGTGAAACCTATCTCGCGATATACAATTGTTTTATCGTATACTCCAGCTATAGTCTCATGCACGTTCGGGGGTATTATACCAAAATAGAACCTGTTGTATCCTACTGCATGGTCGTCAGCTTTAATTGATATGGATTACCTGCAGAATAGGGTTTTTTAATGTATACCTTTCCTTGGGACTCAGAAGAGACCAAATTTGATATAGAGCCCCATTGTAATGCTTTATACCTCTATATTTTCTCGTTACTCGGATGGAGTGTCGTGTTTACAATTCAATTCAATTAAAAGTAACGACAATTTATGGATACAACACTTTAAAGTAGACTTTGTAAATTAATGCAACCTCTCCAGCAGGTTCGGGTCGAGAATACGTCAGCGGTATTCCACTACGTGTTATCGTAAGAAGCGACTGAAGTGGGGGTGCTGATTCGGGTTTTTTCTTTCGTGTCTTCCGCTCAGAGGACAAAGAAGATTCCCGCGGTGTCTTCTTATTCACTCGTCTTCATATATTACTTTGATTATTGCGAGGACGTGAAACCCAAACAAACAAACAAAATCCATGGACACCGTCTGGTTATGAACTTGGATATTGCAAAGACATTAAACCCATAACAAACCAACCACGATATTGTATTGGTTTGTTTGTTTGAGTGGTTTTACGTCCGCTTCACAACCGAGTTATTCGGTTATCCAGCAGACGAAGAAAAGATAGAAAAATGAGTAGAACTGATGATGTATGAAGTGAACGGATAGAAACATTACAGGAGAATAGGAGTCTTCTATCCTAACCACGATATGTTTGGACGCCGTCTTTATGGACCTTAGCTGTTGAGGAGCCACAACACAATAAAGAAACATATTGGACTACCATTGAGGACTACCTTTGGTCCACAACTGTCTCACGACTTGTCTGGCTAGGTCTGGGGAGTAACCTTGCTCTACAACACTCTGGAACGCTGGTAAGTTGTCTACCTCCGTGTCAGACGGGAGTTCCTCAGTCGGTCTTTCGCACACTTTTCCTCGTGATTTGCCACTGGTTTTGTCGTTAACCTGTGAGAAAAACAAACGGTATCGATATTTTACTATACATAGTTTGCTTGCTGGCTGAAATGGTTCCCCAATGAAGGATACCGAAATCTGTCTCTAAACGAATGAGATGAAGGTTATGTTGAACGTTTTGGAATGCTGTGCTTTAATTCAACAGTTATCCAATTTACACTGTTATTATGGTCTTTATCGTCCTTTCAATGCCTATCATTTATACTAATTTGCTATCTTCACACACTACCATTGCTGTATTTATACATAGGAGAAGGCACTGGCAAGCTTCAATTGTTTATTGTTTATTATACAATGTAACAATTTGTATAGAGTCTTCCTAGCGCCTACATAATCTGAAGTAAAGTACTCTTGGCGTTTAACATTCCAGATATTACAAACACTAACATTTATCACAATCAAGGTAATGCGGGGAGCCGTCTTCCGCAAGCAAAATGCGCGTGAAGCAGACCCCTTTTGTTCCCTAACATGAATGCGTGTTTTGAGGTTATTATCTGTTTTTCAAATGGCTCATTTTATATTGCCATTACTTACACCTCTCCAGAATTAATTTAAACTGACAGATAAGTGATATTTTGACAATACTGATATACCTGTTCTTGAGCATCCATTCTTTCGTGAACAAGACGTATGAACGCAGCTCCCTTGTTCTGTCGTAAATATGCGCACCCAGGAAACCACCGCGCATGCTCAACCCATGGATCGTCCCCATCCTCCCAGTTTCTCAGTCCCCCTCCGCAGAAGAAGCACCGCGTGTAGTCTGCGTACCCGGCGTACACGAACCCAGCCTCAGACATCAAGTTTGGTGTCTGTGAGCCCGACCAACCTTTAAACGAACTCATCCTTACCGTAAGTACCGCATATGCCGGGTACTTTGGCTTATCAAAGTTAACTCCGAGTGGCGCAAGCTTCTTAACCACTGAATCACTGACGGAACCGGATGCAGAAGTTGATCCAGTATTGTTCCTGTGTGCAGCTGAACGCCGATCGGGTTGGTTCAAAACAGGAGAACTGTTTACGTTTGTTTGTGGTACAATACCTGTATTGTATCCGTTGCTTACACGCACCTCCTCAAACGAATGTCCATTTTGAATGTTTGCATGATGGTTCGTTTGTTGTGTCCTGAAGTCCAGACTATCATGTGCTGCCGACGAATACGCGGTAGGGATATTAGACTGAGTAGGTATAGCCATGTGATTGGTCACGTGGGGATATTGCTGACGTGGTTGAGAGACGGGTTTCGGAACAGCGTTCCTCTCGCTTGTGTGTTGTTCGAGAGAAGGGTTCTCTTGGTATGTATATTCATTCCTACTTTGTGTATTAGGATGTTGATGATTTCCCCTACAGTTTTCATTCTGAAGATTCCCATCGGACATATTACGAAAACCATTTTTAAAATGCCGCTCCTCATCATTTCTTGCTTGCGAATGAGAAGCAGCCATGGGACTTTCAGAAGAATGCGTAACGTTGCTGTCACGAGGTATAGCAATGTTTGTATCGTCTGTGCCGTTCACGTGTCTACATCCGGGTGATATCTGCTTGTGAATTTCGTTTGGATCTTCTCCGGCCACCCAGTTAGATCGCCGTTTACCACACGAATAACACCGTACCTCATCCGAAGTACCGGTGTAATAAAATCCAGCTCTCGCCAATCTGATTGGTCGAACATTAATGCTGCGTTGAGCTGCAAATGACTTCAACCGTAACCATTCAATGTTCATCGATTCAGATGCATTCCCATTTTCGGAATTTTGGAAATAAAGGTTAAGATTCGACGGGAAAACCTCCAGGGAAACTCTACGAGGCTGCATTTGCCACAACCAAGACAAGTTGTCTTTAAAGCTCCAGTGCAAATAAGACTTATCACCAACATTACTGAAAGCATTTATAGTTATATATTTTTCATATAAATGTATTTTATCTTTTTCGGGGCAAACATTGATATTTTTAACATCTTTAAAAAATCCAATTATTATCCACAAATACAGAATGATATAACAAAGTCTGATGTCGTACACAACACATCCGATGATACTAAATATAATTAAATAGGTAGCGATACTGTTAATATTGGTCGAACAAAACGGTCTCTTACACCATAACTTGGATGCTTTAAGTTTGTATAGCAAACAATGTTCAGCCGCATCAAGAGTTTTGGAATTGTAATCTTGGACATTCGAATTACTTGGGGGTTTCGTCACTCCGTTTCCAGGTTTGGATTCGTTTCTGAACAGTGATACAAATACTGAAAACAAGCGTCTGGTCGACTCCAGTTTCTTACAATCCTTTAAATGTCCATGGGTGTGTAGACGTATGTCTGTTTGGCTGTATGTATGAAGGCCGCAGTAAGATATTGATCCATCCGATATTGACCGCTTATATGTTGGGCGGGAAAAGGAGGACGAACACTCGGAATGGCGGCGGGAACTGGTCACGTCATGACCGTTTTGTCTTGATCCTTGTACAGGTCTCATATTTTCTTCTGAAACATTCGACAAGAGACAACAAGAGATAACATATGATAAAATATACTAGTGTACTTTTAAGCACAGGGACATGAGATTTAATAACAGGAATTATTATCAATCTATCCTGGTGTGAATGGAGTATTATTAAATGTTTTAAGGGTTTAGATCAACTTTCGGTGCAAATGGCACCCCCACTCTCACCCATACCCAAGTATGGTATATACTACAATAGAGGAAACCAATCGAAGTTCTCTAACTAATTCCTAGGTACCCGTGTACACTTTTTACTTACAGCTTCCTAAAATACACGTATAAGCCTGTCTGTAAACTAAGATAAACTGTATCTTCCTTAAATGTCATTGTATACACCTAATTTTGCACAAGAAAGTAAGTTTGACCTCCCCAGACGTCCATGTACAAACAAAGCCCAATACGTTAGTCTAATACATGTTTAATAAATACCATTTACCTGCAACTGTGTTCCTGTTACAACACTCGCTATTGTGTTCGATTGAAAGTTTCTTTTGTTTGACAATACACATCTTTCTGAGGACCAAAACTCATTTTTCTTCACAGAAAGCTATGTGAGTGTTTTAAAGGATATGACCCCCGGCCTGTGGCCTGAATTATATGTCTATTGATATTTCATTCCCACATTTTGTAGCCATCCATGCTAGCAAGCTACTTGCATCATACCATGAATCCAGGCATGTTGGTCCTTCAGAAGAAGCCATATGAGTGTTTTAACAGAGTTGACGCCCGTGACACTAAACATAGGTAAAGGTCCTTTCTTTCTCAGTATTTTGTAGCAAAGATCTTTTAAAATTTGACACCTATGTCGTTAAAGATAGGCAACAGTGATTTATTTTCTAAGCACTCATAGCTAGCAAGCTACTTGCCATGTATCATGAGTCGACACTAAGCGTGTTTTTGTTTCAGTAAAAGCCGTGTTTAACCAATGTGACCTTAAGTAAAGGTTAAGGTCGGGGTTTTTTCTCAACACTTTGTAGCGTTTCATGCAAGCAAGCTGTTTCATATATATCATGATTCTACGCATTTGGATGCTCAAAAAATAATTTGACCTATTAGTAGATGTAAAATACCGGTATCCAAAGGTCAACCCAGAATATCGGTCAAGGTTATTGTGTTCCCCACTTTGATGTAGCACTCTTAGCCAGCAAGCTACTGCCCAAACAAGAGGCCCAATGGGCCTGAATCGCTCACCTGGTATTAATCTCACACTTGTAATCTTAAAAGTGGACTAAAATGCAACTACAGGAAGAATATCAGTGTTTGATTCATAAGAGCCTATTAAAAGATTTAAACATATGACGCCTGTGACCTTGAATGTCGAACAAGGACATTAGGTTGAACAGAACTTAAAGTCTTCCAACCCAGCATGCTTTTGGCAAAATATCATAACCCTGGACCTATTGGTTATACAGAACAAGTCATTTAAAGATTTAAACATATATTGACCCCTGTGACCTTGAATATGGGCGAAGGTCATTCATTTTGACAAAATTGGTAGCCCTTCATCCCAGCCTGTTAATGACCAAATATCATCGGCCCCTGTGACCTTGAATATATGTAAAGGTCATTCATTTGAATAAACCTGGTTGCCCTTTATCCCAGCATGCTACTGGCCAAATATCATCATCCTAAGACTTTCGGTTATTGAGAAGAAGTTGTTTAAAGGTTTTTAACATATTTAACCCCTGTGACCTTGACAATAAGTAAAGGTCATTCATTTGAACAAACTTGGTAGCCCTTCATCCTGGCATATTACTGGCCAAATATCATTATCCTAGGCCTCTTAGTTATTCAGAAGAAGTTGTTTAAAGGTTTTTAACATATTTGACCCCTGTGACCTTGAATAAAAGTCAAGGTCATTCATTCGAACAAACTTGGTAGCCCTTTATCACAGCATGCTACTGGCCAAATAGCATCATCATCGGCCTTTTGGTAATTGAGAAGAAGTTGTTTAACATATTTGACCCCTGTGACCTTGAATATAGGTAAAGGTCATTCATTTGAACAAACTTGGTAGCCCTTCATTCTAGCATGTTACTGGCCAAATATCATTAGCCTTGGTCTCTTTGTTCAGAAGAAGTTGTATAAAGATTTTTAAGACAATTGACCCCTGTGACCTTGAAAATGGACAAAGGTCATTCATTTGAACAAACTTGGTAGCCTTTCATCACAGCATACTACTGGCCAAATAGCATCATCATAGGCCTTTTGGTTATTGAGAAGAAGTTGTTTAAAGGTTTTAAACATATTTGACCCATGTGACCTTGAATATAAGTAAAGGTCATTCGTTTGAACAAACTTGGTAGCCCTTCATTCTAGCATATTACTGGCCAAATATTATTAGCCTAGGACTCTTAGTTATTCAGAAGAAGTTGTATAAAGATTTTTTTAAGACAATTGACCCCTGTGACCTTGAAAATAGACGAAGGTCATTGATTTGAACAAACTTGGTAGTCTTTCATCACAGCATGCTACTGGCCAAATAGAATCATCCTAGGCCTTTTGGTTATTGAGAAGAAGTTGTTTAAAGGTTTTCAACATATTTGACCCCTGTGACCTTGAATATAAGTAAAGGCCATACATTTGAACAAACTTGGTAGCCCTTCATTCTAGCATGTTACTGGCCAAATTTCATTAGCCTAGGCCTCTTAGTTATTCGGAAGAAGTTGTAAAAAAATTGTTTAAGACAATTGACCCCTGTGACCTTGAAAATGGACGAAGGTCATTGATTTGAACAAACTTGGTAGCCTTTCATCACAGCATGCTACTGGCCATATAGCATCATCCTTGGCCTTCTGGTTATTGAGAAGAAATTGTTTAAAGGTTTTCAACATATTTGACCCCTGTAACCTTGAATATAAGTAAAGGTCATTTATTTGAACAAACTTGGTAGCCCTTCATCCCAGCATGTTACTAGCCAATAATCATCGCTCTGGGCATTTTGGTTATTCAGAAGAAGTTGTTTCAAGTTTTTAACATATTTGACCCATGTGACCTCGAAAATAGGTGAAGGTCATTTATTTGAACAAACATAGTAGCCCTTCATCCTAGTTTGCTTCTGGCCAAATATCATCACCCTAAGCCTTTTGGTTATTAAGAAGAAGTTGTTTAAAGTAAAATATTGACGCCGGACGCCGGACGCCGGACGCAGGACGACGGACGACGAACGGACAGACGACGGACGCTGCACCATGGCATAAGCTCACTTGGCCCTTCGGGCCAGGTGAGCTAAAAATATATCATGACTCTAGGCATCTTGATTTATCAGAAAAAGCTACATGAAAGTCTTTGAATTTGACCTGTGACCTTGAATAAACATTTCTTTCGTTATCACTTAAAAGATCTAAATAATCTTCAAACTTGCACTTTTTTTTAAAAAAAAATCGATAGCCTATATTGCTTTTGATGAATTAAAAACATAATTCTCCCAATTTTGAACAAATTGGTCATAGCAAATTTGTTTAACATTTAATTTTAACCTGGACGTGTTTAATTCTTCTACGAAATGTGCACTTCAAATTTAAGTTTAACCACAATCATTCAATATTTGTTTGATATTACTTACATATAGGACTGCATTATAACCATAAATTTGGTTATGACACAGCAAATTATACATAATAACATTTAATTGACATTCTTTGGAATTACATTAGTGACCAATACGTTATCATTCTGAATTTAACTGAAATAGATAATGGACAAGTACCTAGTCCCCCATAAACCATATAAGGAGGTGTACTTCCCTTGAGCCCTAACAGTAATTTACAAAATTTAATGTGTAGACGTTTAATTACTTGTGGGTTTGTATATCCCCAAATCTCACATCCATACAGTAATATGGGTTTTACAGTCTTATCAAATAAATCATATATACACTGAATAGAACGATTATAAAGTCTACCCTTCTCTAAAATATCGTTTTAATGTTAGCTTTTTTAACATTATATTTTTTGCTTCATAAAAGGAACCTGTACGTGAGAACACAGTGCCTAAGTATGTAAAACTCTTGAAAAACTCGATCTCTTCACTGTCAAATATAAATACAGTTCTATAATACAGACCATCCTTTGTAAAACATTTCGTTTTCCCTATGTTTATTCACTGAAAACGTGAAGTTGCAGTTGTAGATCTTGAGGGCAGTCAGAAAAAAGAATCGTATCGTCTGCATACAATAAAATAAAAAGTTTGACGTAGATATGAAATTCTTTTTATAATTTACTACTTAGGCACTGTAAACCCTTAATATTATCACGTGTCATAAAATCTTCAGGGTCGTTCAAGTATAAACTGAATAGAAAGGGAGATACATTTCCCCTTGTCTCTATAACCGTTATCACATGGGAGAAAAGTAGAACTTTGACCATTAAAAGTTATCTTAGACTTAATGCCTTGATACATGTTGTATATAATAGAACACATTTTGCCATTAATATGATTAAATAACATTTCGTTCCACAGTCCATTTCTCGAATGCTTTTTCGAAATCAATGAAAATGCAGTAAGGTTTGTCTTTCGTCTTATTAGTAAGATTAATTACTGAGAACAATACAAAAATATAATCAATAGTTAAGTAATTCTTTCGTAATCCAGCTTGGTTTTCACATGTCAAATTGTACTCATCCGAGTACTTCTGGAGTCTTTCGTTCAAAATACTAGTAACATAATTACCACAGCAGCTAACAATAGTGATGGGTCTATACATGTTTGGGTCTTTAGACGACCCTTTATTCTTAAAAATTAAAACAATAGAGCCACTTAGCCAGCTCTCTGGAAGTTTTCCAGTGCTAAAAAAACACATTGATCAATTTAACATATACATCTATCATTTTAGAAGCAGAGTGTTTTATGTGTTCGTTCGCTATGTGATCCTCGGAACAGGCCTTGTTATTTTTCAGTATATTTATAGCACGTTCAACCTCCTCCCTTGTTATCTCCCTATTTAAAACATCATTAGCAGTTACCAAATTTACATCAATATGGTTATAAGGGGTATCACCAACGTCAGCATTCAAATCTTTAAAATATTCAACAAGCAAATCAGTTGATATATTATTTTTCTTCTTTCTGTCTCCAGAGGATTTCAAAACTTTCCAATAATCTCTAGGACTTTATTACTTCTCAGTTATTTCATTTTTTAATAATATTATCCATTGCACATTTATATGCTTATCTGACTCTGTGTATTTCCTTTGAAAATAATATTTTTTTATGACGTCGGTATTGCCCTTTGTTTTGTAGTTTTGTACATTTAGCAGCAGTGAAAAGTACCTCACAACATTCAAACATCAGTATACCAGCATCCAGGCCATTAACGTTATTGCCTTGGTCAATCATATCTACAATATTATTTATTCTATCGACATCGAGATTTTCAATAAAAGCCTGTATTTTTGTAACGTCCCATAGCTTAATTCATTTTGAATACACTGACTCATTAGTGCATGCATCAACACGGACAATGTGCGTCTAACGACGGTGAACTAAAATCTAAAACATTAAAGCCAGCAATGCTTTCCAAAAGCTCTGAAAAACTTTTTATATAATCTACAATACTTGAATTCTTACATGTTAATTTATCCATATGTCGATCTCCACCGACTCTGCCACTACAAATAACAAGAGGCCCATGGGCCTTAACGGTCACCTGAGTCTATAGTATTTATTTTTGTTGTTGAAATATGTACCAATTTGAGTAAAAAATAGTATAATGTTAACTTAACTTTGTCAGGACCATGAGCTGATCATTCCTAGACCAATTTTAAGTGAGATCGGCCTATTAGAACTTAGTAGCAAAATAGCGGCCATGGCAGCCAAATTGTATTTCTGATTGACCCGAAAAATAACAACACTTTGTCAGGACCATGATTCGATCATTCCTACAAAGTTTCAGTTCAATCGGCCAAGTAGATCTTTACTTTAAGTTTGAAATAGTTTACCAAAATGGCAGCTGTGGTGGCCATATTGGATTTCTGATCGACCTGAAAAATAACAACACTTTGTCAGGACCATGAGTCAATCATTCCTACAAAGTTTCAGTTCAATCGGCCTAGCAGAACTTGACTTTAAGTTTGAAATATGTTTTCAAAATGGTGGCCGTGGCGGCCATATTGGATTTATGATTGACCTGAAAAATAACAACACTTTGTCAGGACCATGAGTCGATCATTCCTACAAACTTTAAGTTCAATCGGTCCAGCAGAACTTGACTTTAAGTTTGAAATAGGTTTTCAAAATGGCGGCCGTGGTGGCCATATTGGATTTCTGATCGACCCGAAAAATAACAACACTTTGTCAGGACCATGAGGCGATCATTCCTACCAACTTTCAGTTCAATCGGCCCAGCAGAACTTGACTTTAAGTTTGAAATGTAAAATGTTAATGGACGACGGACGACGGACGATGGACGACGGACGACGGACGACGACGGACGAAAACGGATAGCAATAGGTCACTTGAGCTAAAGCTCAGGTGACCTAAAAAGATAATTAAACTTACGAAGATCTAGCAGTTGATTTCCAAAATTGTTCTTGTGCAAATCCTTACTCGTTCTATGTTTATTGATATCAAAATTTCCAAACACACCTAAATTTAAAATTTAAAATGTCCACAGTTAATTGATCTCTTTCGTCTATTTCGACAAAATCGATAAAGTCATCTGAAATCGCCGTTCTGGCATTAAAATCTCCCAATAGACAGACGTTTTTACATTAGGACACTAATCGTATGTACTCATTTTCTAATTCAGAAAATGGGTCACCAACATCACAAGTAGAACCCTCGTGGGGTATATACTATACCAAATAATAGGTTCCCATCACATATTTCACTATCCAGTTTAAACCAGCTTACAATTTTACTGTCACTTTCTAATGCGGACAACAGACGCGGCGCCATGACATAAGCTCACCAGTGAGCTGAACCATGTAAACAAGACAACACGTGCCAATCTAACTGCGTAGATGAATAAATTAGTGTCCAAGTTCAAGTTCAAGTGTATATATAGATTGTTTACACAAACATGGTACGGAACTAGGTCAATATATGTACATGCGCTTTCACCCGAGAGTACCGGGTACATCGCCTAGTTATGTACACTATATTTCTTGTGATGGGTTGTTTAATTTACGGCCTTGAAATTAATAAGTAATAGCAAAAAGACAATAAAATACGGAAATGAGTAGACATGTATCGTCAGAAGCTTATTTGTTAGTATTGTTAGTTATTTTCAAATCTGATATCACTGTGTGTGACAGGACGAGGAAACATTCACTATTTCAACACACTACGGTTGATATATATTAACATAAACACTAACAGATGACTAAAATTTGTATCCGGATATATATTTTGTTTCCTATTAATATATTATCTAACCAATCCGGGCTGAGCATGTTTATGTCCAGGATGTCACTATATAAATCAATAATGAATGAGGTATCTTGTTATATCGGTGAAGTGGATCTCCTGTGACGAACTTATCCGTTTTACAAAATTTAAACGGAGCTAAATTATTATACATGTTTATTAATGTATTATCAATAATTATTAATTGTTTAGACCATAAGAAATTGTACAAGATTTTCTATTACTTTTGGTGACGATGAGTAACAAATAGTAAAAGGATGAATCAGGTGACGGAGTATAACCTTTGATTTAATTAATAAATCTTCATTGAAAATATTGATATTGATTATGATGACCATTTACTCTCCAGTTTTACACACACACACCACCACCACACAAAGAGTTTGGTTCGGTTTGTCTGTACACTAACGACCTGTACTTCCCTCGTTATCCCCTTTTATAGATAGTGAACAGAATTAAAATTAATTTACACACATCATAAAAAAGTGTATATAATAGAAGATTATTACACATATCATCAGTAGCTACATGTGTACGTGTATACATATATCATCAGTAGCTACATGTGTACGTGTATACATATATCATCAGTAGCTACATGTGTACGTGTGTGTACGTGTATACATATATCTTCAAACATAATTAGCATATGAAACAGAAACATACGGTACGCTGTAGCCTAACACTACATTCACAATCAGACGAGAAAATAGAAATGTCACAGAAATAATAACAATTGGGTATGTAATGTTAGCAATTCACATAAAGATTTTACCTTCGAATTAAACGTAGCACTGCTGGCGTCTCTCGAATGGGTTGTTTACAATAAAAGGGCTAGGCGAAGTCAAAAATAGAAATAGGGAAACACCTGCTCGGGCCTGTTCCGGCAAATGTTTGCCTTACAAGGCGGTAAAGACTACCTATTTCTCATCCAGCACAGAGCTCATCCACTACACGGCAGTAGGCGGGACAAAATGGCGGCATAATAGGCGGAGTTTAGGGCGGAGTTATAATTAGGCTTACTCCTACAAGAATCAGATGAAAGCGTTCTAGTTTATTTACTAGTACTGTATTGGAATACTGTCGGTTCAGCAGGTCAACATTTAGAGATGATGATTATTGTGATGGTCTAGTTTGAAGCGAACCAAAATCTCATATCTAATCGGCGATCGTATTTTCCAAAATGACACAATTCCTTAATAATCTGTGTATTAAGTAATTGAATAAGCTTAAATACACTTTGATTATTTCAAATACATCTGTCTTAAATCAGTGTATCTTGTGCAAACTAAATCCATCTTATATATCATTAAGATAACACGTTGTACATAAGCTGATTAGTTGTATCAATGCCATCATAACGCCCACTATTAATGTTGAATTTGTGAGCTGAGTCGAAGTCGAGCAAGTTCTTTCGAATAACCTATTTAATTGATTTTCTTATATAGGACTGTAATAAAAAAATATTTTTGATTTCACTGTAAATCATACCTGTAATTGTAATGTATCCCTCCTGATTAAAAATGTCAAATAATCTTGTCTTCATAGTTGAAAAAAATGAAATCGTCCCCGTTCTGAGCCTATACCAGAGGTCAAAGCGATACAGTTCGTCATTTTTTACACATGCTCACTAAAACTTAATTTGCAGCGTATTTTCAAAGCAGGATTTCAGAGTACAATACAAGCGTCAAGACATTTCTGTTATACATTATGTACATGTAACTCATCTTGGTAATATGTGTGAGGGTATAGTTATCGCAATCGCAATTTGAGGACCATGTGGTAGATTAGCCTTTGGCTGAACATGTCATCCTCGTTAAATAAAGTTCATTATTATTATTATTATTATTATTATTAGTGGATATTACAGACTTGCCTACCGACATCTGACTTACAATACGATTTTGTCTACTGATCTTGTCAAAATAAAAATAAATCAATTCGACAAAAAGTATTTATATTTCAATTTCCGTTGTACAGCCTACTGAGTCAGTAAAGACTTTTTATTGTTATTCGATTAAATAAGAATAAAAAAAACAACTTATATCTAGCATGTTATCGAATAATTTAAATATAGACATTATTTATTTTACAACAATAATGAAATTTTCTTTGCAACTTGTATAAATCACTCTTGTTATCCTGGATGTAAGTGCGCAGAGGGTCTAATGTGGGAGGAAACGGGAGTACCCGGCGAAAACCCATGTGGTCGGGCAGTTGAACCCCATATCTTTCCATGTCCGATATGGGAATCAGACCCTGGCCATCTTGGTGAAAGAGAAATGCGCTATCCACTGCGCCACTCGACCACCAGGTTAGTAAGCCCATTCATACACTGTACGTCAACCAATCTGTAAAATCATTCACCCATCAATTAATCAAATCATCCATCTTCGTTTCATCCTCAATTGCCCCGTCCGTCGATCCATCTATCAATTATTATTCTCTTTATTTCTTCCATTTTTTGAAGATTACATAATAGATATAACTACCAAATATCAGACATACTATGAGACTTAATTACATAGAAATAATAACCTTTAGTTCCGCCCGTCCATATAAGTTAGAATTATCTCCCTTGAACCAATACTAGGATTGTCACCGAATGACGCAATGTTTCATGATCAAAGTCTCAATAGCTTATTATTTCCGTCGACAACACTTTTGACTCTTTGCACCCAATACAACTTCCACATACTTAACAATCCCCTTTTACGTCACTTATTTGTGTTCTATGTACTAAATGCTCTCTCGTACTAAGATCCAAAGATAACAATGTGGTCAAATATTATCAACAAACAAATAACCATTCCACCTCCCAGGAAGACGTTGTTTGGTTAAGGCACTGTGATAGGTCGCCTCCANCCCCCCCAAAAAAAAAGAAGAAAGAAAGAAAAGAATTATACAAAAATAAAAACAGTATTGAAGATGAACTTAACACACACACACACAGGTGATTGGTAATAGATATAGTCTCTTTCCACCTTTCAGGACGCATCGGGGCCAAAAATAGGAAGTTCGAATTTGTCACAACTACTGTTGAAACAGAATTGGAGGTGCGTTAACCTCTTAACTGGTGAATTTCAAAATTACTGGTTAATTTAAAATAAAATTATTAGGTATGTATGTGTATTATGTATGATCAGTTATGTATGTGTATTCCGATCCGTGCCAATACTAAAAAACACTGCGTCTTGGACTTTCTTACAACAAGGGTAAATATTTATCCCTTTTGAGTAGTAGTATATGTCCAAGATATTCATCCCCTGTAGTACTTCATGTGATTTCCTTGCTTAAACTTGAACTCTCCTTTTCCGGGCTTGTAAGACGAGGATGAGAAAATATTGAAAACATTACACTACGTCCGTTAGATAGTCCTCGATCGGACGTGAAAAGGTATCGGGTGAACTGCCCGACCACGTGGGGGTCCCGTGTACTCCGGCTTTCTCCGATATTAACACTTTGGCACCAGAGCAATAAATGGGTGTTGTTGTTTTTTTTATATCAATAACATAAATAATTCAGTAAGAATGTTTTCGTAGGATTCGCATTGATAAATATACTGTCACACAAGCAAAACAGAAGTATCATTTGATATTTGTATTACAGGTGTATCTAAATAAAATAAATGTGTGTAAGGATAGAATAAGCATCGTTAACACGTGGTCTATTAACTTGTACACGTGATTAATTAACTTGTACTCAACTGTTTCCTTACTGACACCCACCTGCTCATCAAACGCAGTTACCATCCCAGTGTGGATCATTCGGCCTTATACTATGCGTAATTTATGTCAAGATGTCTTAGTAATATGACAAAAAATTACGTCACTCTACTTTCTGATGTTTACTCAAGTGATTCAACAGTTTGAATAGAAACCATTATTAAGAAATACATAAAAAACAAAATCACATACATGATAGGAGTGGTTCAGCTTTGGCGACAAGACATGTGTTTCCATCGCTGTGGCAACCGTATTCAGTTGAAATTCTAACTGAATAAAAATTAAGCTTTATGCTATAGATCTTACTGATCGTGAACGTGATTAAGTTACAGGAACTATATGTTTTGCCTACTGACGTAAACTACATGATTATTTGTTCTACCTAAATTGGTTTGTCGGCGTGGGAAGTCTACTATTGACAATGGTTGTTGCAATATATGTTTAGATAATACATTTCAACTGTGTAACATGATCTTATTGTGACACCCAAGAGCTATTTTTCTTCTTAACATGGAAATATTATGTGGTGACATGGTTAACTGGTTATCCATATCCCATTGGAGGTTATTGTAAACTCCCGCCGAAAATATCTGACTTATGGTACGATTTTAAGTGTATCTCTTGAGACTTGGGACTACTGCTCTTGACAAAGTGAATTCATGCTTTATGTAGTTGAAAGGTATTCATATTTACATTTCTGGTTTACAGCCCACGGAGTCGGCAATCGTTCCGCCCGACCATGTAGCTACCCATATTAGAATTACCCCCCTTGGACCACTGACCGAACAATCGAGAATTTCTTATAATGACGCAACATGA